ATGAGAATTATCTATTTTTTATTTCTTAAATTAGTAAATAATTTACCTTATTTACATATTACATTATTAAAATTTAAAAGTTCTTATTTTTAATAAAAAAATATTATCACTTAATTTTTCTCGTTTAGTAATTACTCTTACACTTTAGAATGGAAAATTGGAATTAACATTTAGAGTGGAATTATGTAGTGGATAAAATTATATAAGTTATTGTCTTAGTAATTTTGCCTCCATTGGAAATGACTGCCTCACATTGACCATATAATAATAAAAAAATTATTATAATTAATTTAATTAATTATAATAAAATTACTTTCATTTGTTTTATTTAAACCAAATATGATATAAGGCTATTTATATCAATTATGACAATTATGTAGTAGTTCAGTATACATTTTTAAAACTTTATATATAATGGTTATTGTTTTGCATTTCTTATTCATCTAAAATTTGTTAATTTAGTACAAGTTAATTTAAAAATTCACAATTGTTAATTATCTTACTCATAATAATTTCCTTTAATTAAAAATAAGAGACTCAAAGTTGAAGTTAATTGACAAATTAGTGAGATGAGTTAATGAATAACAGAAATTTGCTTTCAATTGTTAAAAAAAAAAACCCTAAAGCTTCATAGTTAAAGATAATATTTGCCCTTCCCCTTTTCAGTTTTCCTTACGGATTTCAAGCTATGCACTTTTGCAGCAGAAAAAAGTCTGTCTTCATCTCCTCAAATCATTTAATACAAATAATATAACTCCAACAATATTCTCACATCAAGAGATAACCAAATTCCTTCTTTGTACAAAATTGCGTCAGACATAACCCTGTAATCCTTCTAGAATTGTTGCCGCATTCGGTACCTGGAAGATCTGCGGCTTCCAATTTCTTAGCTCAAATTCTACAAATGTCTTTGTAAAAAAAAAAAAAAAGCATAATTTGGCAACACTGCACGTAGTTTCTGTCTGTGTTTTCATGCCTTTACCTTTTCTTGGTTGTGGTAAATTGAAGAAAAGAATCTACCTTGGTTCGTGTTACAATCGAACGAAATTTAAAATTCTGTTAGCTAAACAGAAGACGAAAAACTTTATAATAACAAAAGTCAAGACAAAACACACTTTCTGGAAACTGGACTTTAGTCTTGTTAACTGCTGGCCACTTCTATTTCATACTTGGCCATGATTGCAGTGGTCTCTTTATACCAATTAGAATTGGATTCTTCACTCGAGGAGAAACTCGAATCAGTGGCAGCATTTGGTGGCTTGACTGCAGTTTTCCCTAACGATGAGAACAGTAAATGAGTGGGTTTAGGAGGTGGCATGATCTCCACTCCTCCTTCCAGCATCTTTACCACGGCACTCATTGGTGGCCTAGCTCCTAGCGAATCTTGAACACACCACAATGCCACTAATGACATTCTCTCTGCCTTTTCCATGTCCTCCTTTTTAATCCCATAACTTTTTATTAGTTCAGCCAATTCACCCTTCTGGTACTTGTCCAACACAACCTTTGGAAACCAATCAACGATTTCAGAGGAAGTACTAACTGTGTTTTTCCTCCTCCCAACTATCTCAAACAACAACATTCCAAAACTATACACATCACATTTGTAAGTTTTGGGATGATTTCTCAGAAAAAGCTCGGGGGCAGAGTAACCGAGGGTTCCCTTGAATCCGGTAACTGAATCATGAGTACTGTCCCTGTTGCAAAGCTTTGCAAGCCCAAAATCTGCAACTTTAGGGAGGAAGTTTGCATCAAGTAGAATATTGGCTGGCTTGATATCATAGTGAATAATTCGCTGTTGACAGTCTTGATGCAAGTAAGCAACTCCTTTGGCTGTCCCCACCGCTATTATATGTAATTTTTGCCACTCAATCATCTCTTTCTTCCCAAACAAGTAATTATCAAGCGATCCATTTTCCATGAATTCATATACAAGCGCACTTGTATTTCCATCATAGCAAAAACCATAAAGTCTAACCAAATTAATGTGGTTTGTTCTTCCAATTGTGCCAATCTCTGCCATGAACTGCTTTTTTGCTGCTCCCTCATATTTTTCCTTGAGCAACTTCACTGCAATCTTAACTCCATTTGGAAACTGCCCTTCATAAACATCCCCACATGCTCCAGACCCCAACCTTTTCGAGTAATTTCTTGTAAAGTCATCCAGCTGCTGAGCAGTGTATCTCACCGGCTTCTCCTTGTTCCACTCATGCAGAAAATTCTCCCTTGTGGATGCATCAAAGGCTGCCGTACCAATGTCAAGTCCCTTCAGCTTAACATCTGATTCAACATGCCCCTTAAGTGTAAGCCTCCTTGGCCTGCAAAAATCACCTCTTTTACGTAACCACACATATTCCTTGAGAGATAAAAAGCGAGGATCTTCCAGTTAGAGTTATAAGAAAATATATTCCCATTCTCGAATCAGATTCCTAAAGATTCATTAGAAACAAAAATGCGACATTCATGAGTTTTTCTCCTTTGGTTTCAATGCACGTTGTGGTAATTTTTATCTGTAACATAGTTCACTTACCTGATAACCTCAGCCTGGTGTTTAGCCTCCCCTGCAATCTCTGAGAGTTCCCTATAACTGTCCTCTTCACTGAAATGGTTTTTTGTAGTGAAGGTGGTCTGTAATGGAAATTAGAGTAGCAGATATGAAATTATAAGACAACAGCACATAACAGAAATAGAGAAACTGAAATCTCAGCAAATATGTTATGTGAAGTTGACAATATATGGTAAAACCAAAATAGCTCTTCGTGTTAAGTATCATAGAGAATAATACCTTGTCCTGTAAAAGTGTATCCCTCACATTACTACCAAGGAGATACTGAATGGCAAACTTGAGAAGATCGAGAAGGATATAAGTCACAAGACTATAAAGCCAGATCACTCCAGCCCATGTCCAGCCAATACCTTTTATTTTAGCAAAATCCCAATTTGCATAGACTGCAATCAGTGTTGCTACCTGACAAGTGGAGAATTGTTGACAAAAGAATTTCAATATTTTATGTGTTAATAAAGAAGAAAAGAAATAAAACAAAAACCATAACAATTTGGATATTGGAGGATTTTACTAAGAAAATTTCAAATTGGATATCGGAGGATTTTACTAAGAAAATTTCAGAATGGGAATCTCACGTCAGCCTCAGAAAAGAATAACGAGAAAAGGGATGGAGAAGTTGCAGAAACCTCATAACCAAATAATAGTTCCAAAAAACTGGAAGGGTTATGGATATGAAGTCTTACCAGCTGAGCAACTATGAAAGCAATGACTAACAGAAGTCCGGGGCGTTCAACGTAGGAAAAGCTTGGGGATCGTGTCACAAAAATAAGGCCCTGGCTCACAATACTCACTTGAAGGTATAAAGCTGCCATAATTTTCTGGTCAGTATAAGGACTATGCCAGGGGTTCAGGGGAATTACATAAAATATGTCCTGTAATATTGGAAAAGTAAAGAAAAACCATGAGAAATGTTACCAAAATATGAAGAGAAGATTGCAAAAGTATACTTACTAAGAAGAAGTTGGTGTTTCTCATAGCCCAGAAAAATAATACAGTCATGACTGCCAAGTATCCTCCAAGTACAATGCCAGTAGTGAAAATCTCTCTCAGCTTCCAGCTTTCAGGCTGTGGAGATAGCTTCACTCTATCTCTTGGTATTGTCATGATTGTCCCTACAGACATTAGATTCATGACTATTCAGAGTCAGTCAAACCCGGCTTGTACCAAACAAGAGTAAAGACGGAAGCATATTATTAACAATAAAGAATGTCTCACCGTCATTTAGGATGGCAATAATTAAGACCATAAAAGGAGCAAAGTCAAACTTCCACACCAAGGCAATAATCAGGAAACTAAACTGCCAATATAAAAACAAACAACTGTATTAAGATCCATATTTTTCAGTAAAAACGGAACCCCTTTAGCAGTGGCATAAAGTTGTCAAAGACAATTTCAGATATACTAACCACAATATGGATGGTAGCAGAAACAGCATAGATTTGCAAATTTAAAAGGAAAGATCTGTGGTTACTACATTTCAATTTGCTCCATGAAACAATGAACAAGAGAATGCCAACAAAGGTAAACTAGAATATAATTAACTGTGTAGTTCTTCATTCTTTGGTAAATAGCCCTGCTAGTTAGCACCGCGCTTATAATGACACTAAGCCCTGGTTCAGTAAGGACAATATCTGATGCGCTTCTAGCAGCATCTGAAGCATTGGCAACAGCAATTCCAATATCAGCCTTCTTCAAAGCAGGTGCATCATTATCTCCAGTCATACCACAGATATGTTTCCTCTCTTGCAGCCTCTTAACAATTTCATATTTGTGTTCTAGCATATGCAGAAAAAAATTGTTAGAAAGAGGAATCAGGGGAGTAACTCGAAAGGCGGATGGCCAATAGTCAAAATATTTTAAAATGCATACAAGTGACAAATATCGAGAACTATATGCCGGTGCAACAGTGAGTTTGACAAAAATCAAGTAATATCATTACTTTTTTATGGAAACTTGATGTTATTAAGTCATCTGTGGTTTCTTTAATTAGAATGAAAAAAAAGATACCATGTTTTTGTAGAAAATTTACAAATATATTAAACCACCTGGTAATACTCCAGCAAATCCAGCGGCCATCTCAATGAACTCATTTTTGGTGAAAAAAGCAGCAAGTAAAGCATCCTTATCTTCAAAAAACAAGGAGGAAGAAGAGTACATGTCCGTTCCCATTCCAAGCCTCCTCCCAGTTTCTTTGGCGATGGCAAGCTGATCACCTAAATAATAAAACAAGGTGTGAATAACGTGAGCGAGGTAATAATCAATTTCGAATAAATAAATAAACTTTTTTGAACTAAAACTAAGTAAAATATTTAGTCTCACCTGTAATCATCTTAACATTCACGCCAAGGTCTTGAGCCATTCTAATGGTTTCAGCACTGTCATGCCTCGGAGGATCAAATAGAGGCAACAAACCAATAAGCTGCCACGGTTCCCCTGAACTATCTTTTGTCTTCTCAGGTAGTTCCTGCAAAAATAAAGAAGTTTTAAAAAATAACAAATAAAAAAAGAAGAGAAGGAAAACAGAAACATCATTAGCTCAATTTACTTAATGAAGTGATGTTAACAATGTGAAGGGTTCCAAACCTGTATTGCCACTGCTAACGATTGAAGTACACGTTCAGCAAACTGGTCAACTACTGCATGAACCTTTCTCCGAACATCTCTCTTGGAGTTGCAGAGGTCCAATATCTGTTACAGGACAATGAAAACTCACGGATAGGTGTTACTTCCTTACAACTTTCTAACTGGACATACCAGCATGAGGAAAATCACGGATACCTGCTCGGGGGCACCTTTGCTAGCCCGATGCCAGTTTCCATTAGAATCAATGTAGGTAAGAGCAGTTCTTTTGTCTGCAGGGTTGAAAGGAAGGAAATTAATAAGCTGAAAGGAGGGTTAAGAGTTGAAGAAGATATCTTATTCATTCACAGGAGCTGTACATATATACAAGTGAGATGTTGCCCTCACACATATGGAAAGAACTTGTAAAAACAGCAACATACACAATACACTGAATCTTATAAATGCAGAATATATGAATGGCAATGGCTGATTGTAAGGATGATTAGAATCAGCTATCCGGTGGAGTTGATTGAGCCGTGATTGGTGATGTACCAGGATGTGTTTCCATAATAGAAATGAACCTCCCTAATACCAGCTCGTGCCTGGCCAATTCATAATTAAAATGATGTAGAAATCCTCTAATCCACGACCTAACAAGAGAGGACAAAGAGTAACAAAATGTACCTCTTTGGGATCTGCAAGCATTCCAACAATAGCCGCATCAATAGCATCCTGATTTTCAGTTCTTGAAGCTCTAGCTGCATGAAGGATAACTTGGTCCATCTCTATCCCCTCTACAAACACTTCAATCATGTTTCTTTCAACAGTCAACTTGTTCAGGGTCAGAGTCCCTGTCTTGTCACTGCAGAGAACATCCATGCGTGCCATTTCCTCAATGGCTGTCCTTCTCTTGGTAATAGCACCCTGCTGAGAGAGCCTCTGAGAACCAATGGACATGGTGGCAGATAACACTGTTGGCATGGCAGTCGGGGTTCCTCCAATCAAGAGAACTAGTAAATTGTCAATTCCATCCCTATAGTTGCGGTGCTGGAGCCCGTACATGACAACTGCCTCAATGAATAATCCAATAAAAATCAAACAAATGCAGAAATTGCCAATGGCTGTGAGAACCTTCTGAAAATGCCCAACTTGATTGGTGCTGTCTACCAAATGCTCAGCTTTACCCAAAAACGAGTGCACACCAGTTGCAATAACAACTGCTTCTATTTCACCCTGTTTGCATATGGAACCAGAAAACACTTCATCTGAGGGGCTTTTAGTGACAGGAAGAGATTCTCCAGTGAGAGCAGATTGATCAATCTTTAAAGGATCACCCTCAAGAAGACGAGCATCTGCAGGAATTATGTCTCCCAATTTAATGGTGATTATGTCCCCTGGAACGAGAATTGCAGCATCTTGTTCATTCCATTGACCATCTCTTAAAACCTACAGTTTGTCCCAGAAGAAGAAAATTAAAAACCGAAACCAAATTTAAAGGAGCAATAACAAGATGAACGTAAACTGAGAAGAGCCTTTGTTTTCACCTTAGTTTTGGGAGCAAGATCAGCCATGAGGGCTGCTGCAGCATTTCCAGCTTTATTTTCTTCAATAAAACTAATGGTAGAGTTGATCAGCAACAGCACAACGATACCAACAAATTCCTGCCAGTTTGGAGGTCTCCCACCCCCATTTGCCATGACAATAGCCATGATAGCAGCAGCTTCCATGACCCATGACAAAGGGTTCCACATAAGACCCAAAAGCTTGAGAATCTTGCTCTCCTGTTTGCAAAACATCATATTGTCATATGGAAGAATGCAAAATAAAGGAAGCCACATACAGTAAAGGTAATGAATCAAACCTTTTTCTCTTCTAGTTTGTTTGGTCCAAAAACTTGGAGTCGACGGGCTCCTTCGTCGGAAGTCAGTCCAGCCCTGGTACATTTCAGCTGCTCCAACACTTCCTCTACAGGCATCCGTTCCTGAAAACAATTAGCAACTTCTTAGTCGAATAAATATTCAGCCAAGCTTCATTCAAGAAGCCAATTTCATCTCTAGAATACTATTTCATAAGCCAATTTGATAATGATTCCCTTGTCAACTACGTTACTCAAAGATGCCAAGGGGCCGTAGCCTTGCCAACTCACTTGTTCCGCATGGTTCGGTGCTGATTATTCACACTTCCACTCCGCCGGTATCTATCCGGTGACATAATCATCAGCCAGCTTATTGTCAAATTTTCTACTACTTTTTTTTTTAAAAGAAATTTCTTAAAAGGCTTTTAAGACATACGAATTGCTCAATAACTTTTCGTTTTAACTCCGTTTTCTCAGCAACTAGACACATGCACACTTCCATACCTTGTTACATGTGCATGCAAATCAAGAAAAACAACTAATATTAAAGAGCCACAGCAAGAGAGAGGGAATACCAAATCTACTGATTGTGTCTTGATCTCCTCGAGGCTTATGGCTCTATCGTCGGCCATGGTTGAGGCTCAATGGAGACGGCGACGGTGAGGGAACTAGAGATTGCGCGGCGACTAGCAAGTCCTAATCAAATAACAAAAATGTACT